CCAACTAAAGGGCAATTTAGATTCAGGTCAATTTTTCACCCTTTCACAATTATGTAATATCAATAAAAGGACCCATGGGAATGATGCCATATGTGAATACTATATCTGGCAATCAAGCTAGAGTGCACAAACAGAATTATTTTCCCTACCTGCTGTGGAAATAATCCCCTCCACAGCAAAGCAAGTATTTTTTCTAAAATCGGTCTTTATTCCCAGATGAAAAACTTGGTCCCTTTCCTTGATCTCAAAATGTACTACTCCACACTGAGAGAAACCAACAGATGGGTGGTAACACATGGTTCTTGAGGAGAGGTTTCTAACAGCCAGTTTGGGCACTATCCTCAGAGCCACATCACCTTGCAAATGGCTCTCCTTCCTCTTTCCTCCACCTGCTGACAAATTTCTACATCACAGGACACAGGAGCTATCCAAGTCCAACCTATGGAACACATAGTGCAGCAGCCACACTAGGAAAGGCAGCCTTGCCCAGCTTCCCAGAGTAGCCCACACACATACCTTCACATACATGGGAACTGACCATAATTTGGTGGCTAAGACTGAGAGGAAACATGGAAGGAGAGAGGCAGACCCAGTGCAAGTCCAGCTTCAGTCACGGTCAGCTGGAAAAGACAGCAGAGGTGCTTTCACTGGAAAAGCCCACGTGGCAAGCACGCACAGGTCCCACTCCACACTGCAGGACAGTCAGGAGCGTATTATGAATATGGGACTTGATGGGGATTTAGAAAAACACTGATATCAACACATCACTCTCCACATTCTCTATCAGTACAAAAGGAATGGTAATGATTGGTTAGCTGCAGCTTGAGAGTTCAGCAAGTGTGAAAACACGTTGTATATAAAAGGAGGATTGCTTCACCCATTCCAATGAAAAACATTTCACACACTTCTGACTAATGAATTTAAAAAACATTCATCTACATGAGCCACAATATAAACATCATTTGACAAGGAGATTAAGTTCTATCATACTCATATTCCCACTGATTTAAATGGAACCGCTCACAAGTTTATGGTGATGCACACATTCAGGCAGCCTGCTGGATCCACACTAATAAGCAGACACTCTTCCAGGACACCTTCAAAACAAATCATCAGTGTTTTCAAACTCTGTCTCAAACCTAACGTGCTCTTTTTTTTTTTTTGCAAATGAACCTATGTAAATAGATTTGAATCAGTGCTGAATCCCTATGAAGCTCACAGGATTTTGTGCTATGTGGGTAATACAAGGTAGGAGTCTCATTTGCTCCTTAATAAACACTAGGGTCAACCTCTTACTGTGCATTTCACAAGCTGTCTTGTTAAACAGGAAGCATGGTACTGTCTGGCTACAAGTCAGAGCATGTAACAAGACAACTAGAAGTGGAGTGGAAGACATTTCTTCATCTGTTTAATTCAGTAATAAAACTATTTCTCTATAAAACTATAACCTGGTGACTTCTGTGTTGTCTACAGAAGCAGAATACAGTGGTAGAAAATAAATCATATTATGGGCCTTTTGGTTCAAATCACCACATTCGGACTACTATTTAAATGTCAGTCACATTCATTCAGTGGTTCCTGGGGGAACCTCGGATGTGGCTATTACCAGCATTTTTATTCATTTGTTTCGCTATGAAATTATTACTTTCTGAAAGCTTAATTTTGACTGTGCCTCACAAGAGCTATATTATGCAGTGAATGCAGTCATGTGGAAACAAAGCCTATGCTTTTTTAAAACAACTCTGTTCAAATGCCCCAGACTGTCAAATCTGTTTCACCCAAAATTATTCTGATGGTTTTAAAGCTTTACACAAACCTGTAGGAAACTATAGTCTCTCGGTCACACTGACACAGCACTAATGACAAAGAAGTCTGCATGCCTAAATAAAAAGGAACCATTTGGTGGCACAGCACTTAGTTGCCCATTTCCAGAAAAACACTTTTCAGATAGATCTTCTTAGGTCCAGGATGTCTGACAGATTTGCAGCAGTACAGTTAACATTCAAATAGGGCTACTTCTCCTTCTTAGGTGCTCTGTGGGTAATAGCAGTAAATGAAAAACCTAACCTGTTCCATACTTGTCAAGCTAACATCTTGTAACTCTACACGATTGTCACATCCAGACTCAGCCTCCTTTCACAAACTCAGGAATATTTCTTGTAAACTTTATGTTGCTGCACAGAGGTAAAACTCTTATAGTTTTTCTGAAAGGCAAAAGGGGGAACACTCCGTTCATTCTAGGAGGAGCAAAGTTTCCTCCTGCTTTTCAATGACTCAATGCTGTTGGTGCATGGAATTTGACAGGCATTAAGTTCTTCAGCACAGCTTCTAGTAAAAACCAGAATAGCAGTACTGCGTGCAGGTTAGTTTGACATTTTACAAGTCAAAAAATGATGAATAAAAAAAAAATGCTTACACTGTATAAAATAATCCAGACGTGGAAGTCACACAATTTTAAGTTGTGCTATGGAAAACAGACTTCCTTTGGATGAGACAAAAACTTTTTATAACATTTAAATTGCACCACAAATCTTTATACTTCTAGTTGGAACTGTATTTTTTATTAATGATATTGTATGCTCATCATCATAAATTCTCTGTGTATAAGGGGTGCTAATGTTACAACAAGAATAATAGCATTAAAGATAGAAAGAAACTAAACTAAAGACTTTAAGACTTCACAGTGTTAAGCTGGTTTAAGGGACAGAGCAACCTATGAAATAACTTGAAATTGTTCCCAGCATGACTTAGGACTCTATTATGACAGCACATCGTACACAAGTTCTTGTGTGAATAAGAACCAAAGGAATAATTCCAAATTTTTAAAACTTCCAACTTATTTGGTCCTATTTGGGAAGTTTCATTCATACCAGCAATGTCATTCCATATTTTACCCGAGGATTAATCCCTAGTCAAAAGGATTACTCCCTAGAGTAAGGTCAGCACAGCTAAATCCTGGATTTCTCACTCATACTGAAAACAAGCCAATAAACAGATCAGTCTTGCAACCTACTTGTGAGTCCCTATCATACATGAATGTGTCTTTGTGGCCTGTGTACAGTCTGTGAAAGTCAAGGCTGGACCCAAAAGTCCCTGGATCATTTGATGCTAGGCTGCTAAACCTAGCATCAGAAACTTAATATTTTTGTTCCAGCCAGCTAAAACTATTCCTTCCTTCTAAATTACAGTATTGCAGGCAGTCAGTGTGAGGGTATCATCTGAAGGACAGAACAGCATGCACAGACCTTTCTCACCATGGTCCCTCCAAAAAAGATGTTTACCTCTGCTGCTGCAGAGGCATACTCATTAGCTTACAGTAATGGAGAACTGAGAATTCTACTATTAAAAAGTGAACTTCAGCTTGCCTGCTTCTTAAATGGGGATGACACAGACACTGTAACTCTTACTTTTCAGTACCAGAACTCAGTGCAGCAATGATGATTCCCAGGTGTCTGATAGCACTGTAGGTACCAGGGGGATAAATAACAAAGGTGCAACAGGAGATGGGCACTGCAGGACTGGCTCGCGCACCCTTAACTGCTCCTTACCACATCTGTCATGAGCACAGCAGGTTTCTCATGAAGCTTGTCCTACCGATGATGCAGCACAATGTGGTATGAAAGGTGAGACACAATGTCATTCGATGCCTACATGGGCCCATGAAGGACTTGACATATCCCATTGCGTTCAGAGTCACAAAGGGTATTGGTGTAATTGCAAGGCATTGCGAATCAGAATTTGGACAAATTCTTGTATCAGGGCTCATTCCTTCAGGAACACTTCCCCAGGGGGGCAACAAGAGATGAGATGGAAGAGAAAGGGAAAAACACAGGTGTTGAAAAGCATAACGGCTGCTGCATTTTACATGCCTGCACCCACAGACTGCTTACAGTGACCAAGACTGTTACCTGAAGATGCCTGCAACGACGATTTGTAGGAAATAACTGGGGATTTTATATTTAGTTGCAAGCAAACAAACAAACAAAAAAGAGGCATGTTACACTGGTCTTGGTTTCAAATCTCTAATTCCAAATAAATCCCCCTGACTTCTATGAAACCATGTTAGGTTTATCCCCAAAGCACAATGAGTCAGAACCTGATTCAGAAATTGTAACCTTACAGACTGTAACACACAGATTTTGTATTATGAAACAACTCGAAGACTGCTGAAACATCAACCCTGACCTTCCTGCAGTGTCACATCATGCCTAAAGTAACAGGACCAAACCTCATTATTCATATTTCAGCTACACCCTGGAGCCAAAAAACAAAACAAAACAAAAAGGTCATGTTTATTGATGATTTACAAAGTCAGGCTAAGGAAACGCCGATGGAAACATGGTGCACAGCCCTCAGTAGAGAAGGTCCGTGGCCCACGGCAGATGTCTGCCCCAGCGGCAGCCCCTGCCCCCCCCCCGCCCGCGCTGGTCCCGCGGGGGCAGCCCAGAACCCGCTCCCACACCCCGGGAGCCTCTGCCCGCCTGCCGCAGCGCGGCCTGAGCCGGTGGGAGGTGCGGCCGGACGGCACCCCCTGCCCCCACGCACGCGTGCAGCCCATGCACCCACGCAAACCCGCGGACACTCGTGCAGAGCCATCCACGCCCGTGCACGTTCACTCACCAAGCACACTCCTGCGCGTTCGTGAAAACCTGTGAACCACTCGTGACCCACGCACACCCGTGCACGCTCACTCACATCCGTGCCCAACATCCGTGCGAACCCTCTCACCTCGCACACCCGTGCGCACGGATGAAAACCCGTGCACGCTCACGCCCCACACACACACGCGCACACCACGCGTACTCGTGCAATACGCACAGCGGCGGATGCCCACGCACAAGGGCGCACGGGCGGGCAGCCGGCACCACGCAACCGACTGCACCACGCAGCCGAGCGCCGCGCCGAGCACCTCGGCGCGCAGCCCGGCCACGCGCGCTCCCACGCGTGCCCGCCATGCACCACCCTCCTCCGCTCTCCCCTCCACCTCGCCGCGGGGGTACCTGGGTCGCTTTGTGGAACTGCTTCTTGAGCCCGGCCACCGACATGGCGAGGGCGGCGCGCTGCGGCCGGGCCGAGCGGGGCCGAGTGGGGCCGAGGGGCGACGCGGAGGTCCCGCAGCCGCCGCCGCCGCGCAGCCGGAGCACGCCGCCTGCCCACTCGCGCTGCCCGCACCCGCGCGCCCGGCGGCGGCTGTCAGGTGTCGGCGGCTGTGCGGGGGCGCCGTGACGTCAGGGCGGGACGCACCGCCCTGCCACCGGGCGCTCGGGGCCGCCCCCCCGTCCCCGCCCCCCCGGTGTCACACATCCCCCTCACCCCAGCCGCCACACACCCCCTCTGACCCTCCCTCCCCCCCCGGGGCGGCCATCCCTACCCCCCCCGCCCGCCCCTCCCCTCCCTGCGTGGACCTCGGGCTCGCGGCCGCAGCGTCTCCCGACAACGAGTGGTGCGCCGGTCCCCACGGGGCATCATCCGCGGAAAATAGACCGAAGGGAAGACGTCAGTGGAGGGATAGTGGGGAGGAGGGGGGAAGGCGGTAGTAGAGAGGAGAACAGCGCGGTCCAGACACCCGAAGGAATGTTCGGAGCCCTGCTGGCGTCATCGGGCCTCATGTGCCTCGCACCACAGGCAATGGTCGAACCCTGGCTAATTGGGATCCCTCAACAAGTGCTTTTTTCTTCTCCCTTCACAGTGTCTGTGATCTGTAGAAAACCAAGTCCAAAGCCTGCCCATTGTAACCTGTGAGTGTGGCTTTTGTCTTGAAGATAAAAGCCTAGAACCCAGATAAAATTGTTGCACTCGAGCAGTTCCACGTTACAAACACTGACAGAACAGTAGCTAACAGTGCTTGGGCTCTGCCAGAAACAGACTCGACAACATGAGCAGTGTGGTCCAAACATGACGATCCTTCTCTGCAGGCTGGACCAGTCACTGCCTGTGTGTGCTGCAAATTAACACAACCAAGGTGCACGCAAAGGTCTTGCCAGCTGTTGGAAAGCAGTCGCGCGATGTTGGCTGTGTAATTCCACCACAGCAAACACTCAACACGAGCTAGTTAGACAGGATGACCGCATTTTCAGAAGCACCTAAAGCTGTTTCTAAACTCCGTGTGGACTTGCCATGTGTTGTGGCAGCACACAGGCTCGGTGCAGCCAGCCGAGATGCGCTGCTACACTCTTCAGTCCTGCATGCCATCCCAGCTCTGTGCGGCACAGGAGAAGCGACTATACCACATGTATACCTCAGGGCATCCAGAGGCAAAGCAAGGCCTCCACATCACCGAATCTCACTGACTTCATGCAGTTCTCGGAGGTGACTTACAATGAGGGAAAGGATCTTGAACAAGACTCACGCCAGTGCTTTTGGAAGTATTTACCAATGTTGTTCATAATGAGGAATGGCAAACCAAGAATATCCCTCTCTTCACTGTAGAGTGGGAGATGATACCAGCCTCACCCTGGGCACAGCAGGAGGCACCGCTTTCTGGCCTAGTCCCAAATCCGCATAGAAGCACTTCCATCCACTTTAGTGTTAATATTATTTTAAAGGATGAAAAATGAGACCATATGGAGATTCCAAGCAAGGAGTGGGAGTTTATTGTGCTAGCCACTGTGCTTTTGACAGAAAACTCCCACTGTACCTATTGCTTGGGAAAGGGCTCTATAGTCTGCAAACATACTAAAAGCTAGAAAATAGACCTATGAAAGACATAAATGTCATAATTTTAATTATCTAAAATGAAGAATATATTTCTATGTTACTAAATAACTGGAATGGTTACATTTTAGGATCTGGAATTTGCTGGCTATTTCAAAAGAGTACAGTTCTATCTGCTACAAATTTTAAGTGAAAATTACATGAATAACAGAATAAGTAAGAGACAATGTGGGCATAGAAAGGCCCACCAAATTCAGTTTCTGGGTGATAAACTAGAGATACAAGGCCTCATTTTCAAGGGTATTATGCCCCTGACAGTTCCCATTGCTTGTTAATTAAAATTACTAGTATGCTGCTTGGCTGTAAATCAGCCCAAATAGTAGTTGAATGCCCTCAGTCATCTTATTTTACTGGCTGTGCATATTTGTATTCTTGCAGCTGAATCTAACACTTTTACTTGTGCTCACACTTCTTTTTTTTTCTAGAACACCTATATTCCTGGTAGTGGAAAGTTTTTATCTTTATTAAAATAAAATTTATGTGTGTCAGTGTCAGTGGACTTAAAACTACTTTGAGTAAATTAAATGGTGACACTTGTTGGCCAGAAAGAACTTAATTTAGTGTTTGCTCTTCAGTATATCATGTCATTTGTGACTTCTTCTCCCAGAGCAATTTATGTGAATAATGCTTTGAACTCAGCTTCAGTGAGATGGATTCTGGTTTTAATAAACTGTAGCGAACAATAACAAATTATGTTTGCCTATAATGTTTCACATCTCATTTTAAAATATTTGTATGTTTTTATGAGATCTATGAGTATATATGTGTATCTATATATATTCCAACTCCAAATCCCATTTTAGCATGAATAAAGGTAATAGGCTAAGCACTTATTTTTATTCCATATGGCAAAATAAAATTATAACAATAAAAACTAAAATGTCATTGTTGCATATCTAAGCAATAACCAAATGCAGTAAGTGCTTTTTTAAGTGCAACCCTAATCCTGTCTTTTGTGCACACTGTTAATGACTTTAGGTTATGAAACACTATAGTTCTTACATAACATACAGCTGATTCTGCATATTTAGAACTGTATGCTACTTCTAGGTATATTTGTTTGCATTATCTGATGATTTTAAGAGGAGAAATCTTTGCTAACTTTAACCTGTCATGCAAGTACAACAGGGAGTAGTATATAGGAAATGACCCATCTGTCACAGAAAGAATTGCATTTTTGGTTACCAAAGAACTGTAGTGTGACCTTGTAAATACTGCTGGTTTGGTAAAGATCATAAACCAAATGTTTTTATTAACCTATGTGATAATACCATTCCAAAGAATTTAGAATAAGATTCTTCTCTATTCTGCCAGTTGCACAGTCATGAACTCCGCAGTTTTTTAAAGAAGGTGAAGAAGATGCAAAAAAGCCCCAAACAACTAACCACACCAAAGAAAATAAAACAAAAACAAAACAAAACAAACCACAAAAAACAAAGTAGAAAAATCTCATACTTGATCTTCAAAGGAGCAACTAATTTGAGGTAGTTCATATGTTAAACCATTGATTCAAAATGCCTGATTTTCAGAACCTCTGACAAGTAAGCATTGTCAGAGTTGTTTGAACAGGACATTTTGGAAAACCTTAGCTTTCTCTAGCAGAATGCACAAAATTTCACAATCTTTTTGAAAATGTAAGTCATCTAAACTGTGTAACAGAGCAAAACATTGTGTAAAAATCTTTTATGGCTATCTAGGTAGTAAATAATTCCTTATAGATGTCATTGTAGCAATTTGCATCTCGCTACTGTGTTAAGCCTAATGGCAGAACAAGTTTTCTTTTTTTTTTTTTTTTTTCCTGTAATATTTGACTGTTGGCTGTAATCAATATTTTCTTTAACACACAGTATAAGCCTTGTTCCCATTCACTTGAACCCTGATTTCAGTCTTACATTTCACTTACTTCATTTGGACACAGACAAACTAAACATGCCCAATTTTTCTCAAAATACTATTTTTTTTTCTTTTACAGTGATGTTTCACTCCTACTCTCTGGCCATACTTAGGTTCATTCTCAAGTTCTCCCTCATATTTTCCTCCAAGGAACTTAAATCATTTTACAGACAGTGAGTAAAGGGTCAACATGGCTAGATCATTTGAAGAGATTTGGTGGTTGGTCTACTTCCCATTGTCAGGAGATGAAGATGCAGAGCAGAGCCCCAGACATCTTCAGCCTCTGCAGATATAGTATCTGCTAGGGTCTTCCCAACAGAGACACAGGTAGAAATCTAGGAACCTTCCAGCAGAAGCATGAGACAGAATAGCCTCCATGCTGTTGCATCTCCTTTCCTGAGTAAGATGATTTAACGATGAAGGTCTGCTGCACAAAACTGATCTCTAAATCCAGTGAGAATTGAATCTGCAGCAGCATTTACTAATTCATACTGGAGGACTTTAATCAAAGGGCAGAATGGCATCATGTCTCTTGAGTTTGCTTTGTAAACCTCACATCCAAATTCTGAGCAAGTTAAATATCTCTTTTAGGAAGTATATGTTGCTACTATGTGAGGTGATACAACTATTCTCATTCTGAAAATCATTTTTTGAAATAAGTGGAAAAATTCATTTCAGTAGATCCCAGAGAATTTGATCCATATATTTTTTGGTACAAGCTCCTTTTTAGACCTTTTTTTTTCTTAAAACTCAGTCAGCTAATATTTCTACAGCACAAAGGGATGTAAGGCATAATAAAATCCCTTGATAAATTGCCTACCAAAATAAAATAAAGTGCTAAAAATACAATAAAAACATTAGGGAAAAAGTACTTGAGCCAGGGAATTCAGAAAACTAATTCCAGGAGGAGATGGTGTGGCTGCATATTCTAGGTCCTTGCAGAATGTGCAGTGGAAGCAAATCACTCTGTTCAGCACTTAAGTAATAAAAGCACATTGAAAAACCAAAGGTCAGTATAATCAAACAAAAAATAAACCATCAGGCACTATGAATACAAGTTTTTCAAAATGAGTAACACAGAAATAGTAAAATGTATTTGGAATGTTCATTCACATTTCACTGGGAAAGAATTTGGACATTTATGAAGTTACTTATGATACTCTGTCAATGATTTTACATGAAATCTTTGTTGATATTATCATCACAATGGTTGCGTATGACAGAAAGGTGCAAACCAACCTTATGAATGGGATTTCAAGGCTCCAGGGAAGGTTTAATCAGTCACCCACAGGTCAGAAACTACATAGCTCAGTCAGAAATTAAGCCAGAAACTAAAATTTACGTAACAGAGTCCTCACCTGAAATCTAATCTGGGCTACTCTACTACAGGTCAGCTAGCAAAAATGGGTGAATTCAGGGAGTGTAAATCAGCAGGCACTGAATAATGAACATTAAACCAGTGCTAAATTTAAAAAAGGGTGAAACATCATAGACATGTAAGTGTGAGACACGAAGGAACCAACCAAACAAACAAATCCATTACTGCACTATCTTTTAAAAAAACTAATTCCTCCATTGATTAGGAAATACCTTGGCAGCTTCTGAAGGTAAAAAGGTACACGAGGC